AGGAAGGTTGTGGGTTTGTTTTTAATTTTTTTTAAAGCACATATCAAAAAGGGACAGGAAATCCTAACTACCTAGCAGAACTGAAGACCTGATTAGAAGAACAAAGTGCTAGAATACGGTTAACGCTAATCCGGCATGTAGAACAATGTCTTCTTAAGTGGGAATGAATGAAACTATTGTAAGACTCAAAAGCCTCCTCCAATTAAACATTAAAATGAAACTATCTTGACCTGCAAATGAACATAAAACTTGAGAGCTGTCTCAAAACAGCCACTCAAACAAAGGATCAAAAATCTGGTTTTAAAAAACTGATTTACATAGTGTATAAAGGGAGGGAATGGGAAAGTAGGGTGTGCGTGGAATGGTTGGTTGATCGTTATTATTAATTTTTTTAAAAATAGACACACACACATACATACACAACAACAACAACAAGCCAAGCTGTGATTCTTTACTGTACTCAACCGTCGGTGCAGTGAAACGCACCAGGCTGGTGAGCTTATGTACACGGAAGAAAAGGTTTTTAGAAGGTTAAGTTCGGGTCACACGACAAATGAAATTGTAACAACCCCAACTGACACTGTATAATGTCTTCTTCCACCGAATCAATAGGCCGCTCTCGGCTCCAAATTACCATAGAGATGGTCTGCTCCTTTCTGAAGGGGGCCTATTGTTTGATGAGAAAACAGATTTGCCACTTGAACTGCACTGTTCCCGCAGGATGTACACTTCATTAATAATTTGTCGTCTTAAAAAACCATCGGCGGACTCGCCGCATTAACAATACGTCTGTGGGCGCCTCGTGGAATACAGAGGAGTGGTTATTTCCTGACCCCATTGCTGTCCCCTGCCCAAAATGACCCTGGGAAAGGCTTTTAAAAGGTCACTCTGCATCATGCAAATGACAGAAGGCTGATACAGATTTGGCAATTACTTTAGGATAGCTAGATCTGTGTGATCACACATACATACAAATTCGGGGAAGACGAGAACTATTTCACAATTTTTCAAAAATTAAAAATAAAGTAGTGCCATCCCAAAAGGGACTTTAATATATCACTGTGACTGTTGTACAGACTAACCTTCTGATTATATTTTTAAAAAGACTTTTAAAAGGTCACTTTGCATCATGTAAATGGAAGGAGGCTGATGAAGATTTGGCAGTTACTTTGGGATAGTTAGAATTGTGTCATCACACATACACACGAATTCGGGGTAGACGAGAACTATTTCACAATTTTTCAAAATAGAAAAATGAAGAGATGTCATCCTAAAAGGGACTTTAAAACATCACTGTGACTGTTATGAAGACTGTCCTTCTGATTATATTTTTTTAAAAAGAGATTATAGAAATATGCATGCAAATGGCAGCCTCCCATCTCAAGACAGATTTGACAGCCAAGTCTGAAAATATATTAGCAATGTCTGTGGTGTTGGCATAAGCACCAACACGACAGTGTTAAGGATGGGCATAACCTACAAATCACACTGCCATGGAGCCCAGCATCACATCAACTGCAGTGAGATGGGGCACCTTCGATAAGTTGCAAACGCTTCACCAAATATTTACATTTGGAAATGTTAAAATCAAGCATCTCTCTGTTGTATGCAGTACAAGGCCTAGCACTGAAGGAAGCCTACTGACTTCCATAATTTATTTGTTTATTTAACTTCCCACCTTTCTCCCAACCTGGGATTCAAATTGTCTTGTTGTTGTTGTGTGCCTTCAAGTACTTTCCGGCTTCTGGAGACCCTAAGGTGAATCTCTCAAAGGGTTTTCCAGCTTGTTGTTGTTGTGTGTCTTCAAATCGTTTCCAACATATGTTGACCCTAAGGTGAATCCTTAAAAGGGTTTTCTGGAGCTGAAGGTGTGCAACTTGCCTAAGGTCACCCAGTGGGTTTCCGTGGCCGAGCGGGGACTCAAACCCTGATGTGCAGAGTCATAGTCCAATGCACAAACCACTACACCACACTGGTTCTTTCACGGTGGCCTACAGACATTTAAAAACACAATTTAAAAAATCCAACCTAATAGAAAAGTTAAAACACAATTAAACTTGAGTTCTATTTTAAAAACACAAATTAAACCAAATTAAAACATAATAAAATAGAGAGACAACACACCACACACACTAAAAGTTCCATCTGCCACAGCATATTAAAAATCAAATACAATCAGCCCTCCATATCCATGGATTCAACTGTTCACGGCATTAAAATATTCATATATATTCCAAAAAGCAAGACTTGATTTTGACATTTTGAATGAGGGAATCTAATGGGACTTGAGCATCCATGGACTTTGGTATCCATGGAGGATTGTGGAATCAAACCCCAGTGGATAGCAAGGGATTCCCTAAATAAAAAGGTCTTTAGCTGGTGGCAAGAAGACACCAGGGAGGTCAACCAAACCTCCTGGGGAAGGGAGTTCCCTAACATGGGAATAACCATTAAAAAGGCTTCCTCACGTGTCTTCACCAAGAATGCCTGGGATGATGGTGGTGGTGGTGGTGGTGGTAGCGGCCCTCCTCACCGATGTTAAGGATCAGGGAGGCTCATATAGTTTGTGACAAATAAGTGTTTACTAGATTAGAAGCTGGTTTATCAGCACGTTCTCATAATACATGGTTCCTGCTCCTGCCAATAAAGAACAAAATATGGTCAAACAATGTTTGACTGGCACCTTCTTCCTCTCCTCTACTTGTACCAAATATTGTACTGAGTTGCACATTTTCAGCATCAGTGAAATTAAATGTTAAGATCCTTCTTTTTTTTTTAATAAAAAAGTATTTCTATTTTATTTTCATTTACCTATTTATTTCCCCTACCCGTACCCCATCCTGCTGTAGGACAACAAAAATCCCCACCCACCAATGTAATTCCTTTGTAAGATTTCAGCTTGGGATGGTAGAATGAATAGGAGACGAGGGCGGATCTTTACAAAGGGGAATGCATTACTAGCAATGCAGTAAAGATTAATTTAAAATTAAATGTATACAACCGGGGATTTCTCCCCCCTTCACCACTAATGGAACTTGAGCATTATTATATATTCTTCTCTAACATTATGCTCAACGCTGTTCCTAACCGATATGACAAAAGCACTCTTGCCTTGAGAGTTTATGCTTTAAATATTTTTCCCCCTTCAAAAGCTCTGGGCCTTTTTTATTATTATTACTATTAACCCCATTTCTTTAACGACGGCAAAAATTAGTTAAGGATGAATTATCTGATAGGGGAAAGTCCCTATTCATAAAAAATATATATATTAGAGAGGTGTACTTAAGCAAATAAGACACGGAAGGCAAGTTCTCCCTCCAGGCACGCCGTATGTAAAAACATTTATCGCAGCCTACCGTCCATCAACTCGCTTTTCCTTCTTGCACTCCCCGTTTCCATACAGCTTGGCAGGAGCACATGGCAAAGGATAGAACAGGCTCAGATTTCAAATTATATGAAACAGGGATATTCATTCTCATTTCAGAGAAAAGAAATACACGTAATCAGGGACACCCGGAAACTGTTCCCCTACTCCGCTTGCACGCTTTGCAGTTCGGGAAAAGGTTAAAACTAGACTCTTTTCTTGCTGTTTTCTCTAAATTCTTATCTGTTCAGCCTGGGTTTTTTTGCAAAAATTTGCCCACATTTTTATCTGTGGTTGTTGTTTTTTAAAGTGTTCTGAAAGCTGTCAAAATGACCCACATGGACCAGCAGGCAGTCACAGTGTAGGCATTTAGAGGCAAATAACTTGGGACTCAAGACCTTATTCAGCCATGAACATTTTTATTGAGGAGCCTTGGGCAGTTTGGTATCTGTCAGCCTCAGTTCCCCACCCATAAAATGGGATTATTAAGGACCCGACATGCAGAAGGGAAGGACTTTAAAATAAAAAAAAGATGGATGCAATAAAGATTGTCAAAGCACTCATGAGCATTAAAAGCAATCTAGAAATAATTAATAATAAATAAATTGATTTCTTAATAAGAGTCACCTTTGAGAGTTTGATCAAGGGGTTGGTGCCATGAGTTAATTAAAACCAAATTTATTTATCCCAAAATAAATCTTTCCCTAGCATTATTGAGTTGTCACGGGGGGGGGGGGGTGCTCCTTATTTAAATATATTCAAAATAGCCTTTGCACAGTAAATACTTTTAACATTTCATTTCAACTGGCAAAATTAGTCAGTTTAGCCATCAAAACTGGGAAAATTAAACACTCTAACCAAAATATATACCACCTGAACTAACTTCGATAAAATATATACCTCCATAAAATTATCAGGCCAGAATTCTTATCATAATAGGATGAAGCATTGGGGGTTTCCCAAAAATTGCTCATTTATAGCATGAACATTATCTTTAAGTAAGCCCTTAAAGCCCTTAAATCTTTAAATAATTACAAATAAGAATTACATTTCTTTTTTTTTTTTAAAGTCTCAAAAGGAGTACTCTTTACAACTGTACATACAAAATCACAGAAGCTGTTTCTGCTATAAAACAATCCCCCGTAGAGACCAGAATCCCACAACCCAGTGAATCCTGAGTGGTTTGCTGGTGTGTGCCTTCATGTAGTTTCCAACTTATGATGACCCTAAAGCAAACCTATCACGTGGTTTTCTTGGCAGGATTTCTTCAAAGGAGATTGCCACTGCCTTCCTCTGAGTCTGACTTGCCCATGGTCAGCCTACGGATCCATGGCTGAGCAGGGATTCGAACCCTCGTCTCCAGTCATAGTTCAACACTCAAACCACTACACCATGCTGGCTCTCATGGTGTAGCATGGGGTTTTTCCCATCCAACTGATGCCCAACCAAGTGTCAACAGTAATCTAAGCAAAAACACATTGCGATTGTCCCTAGCCATTGGGTTCCAGTAGAGACATACTGCAGCTATGTATCAAGAAGTCCTCAGTATGAATCTTGCCTCCATCGTGAATTCAGTATGGTGCCCTTGAGGCAAAACATGCTCTCTTAATTTTCACTCCTGCACCCAACATCTAGACCCAGCGTGGTGTAATGGTTTGAGTGCTGGACTATGAGTTTGAGTGTTGGACTCTAGAGACCAGGGTTCAAATCCCAGCACAGTGATCGAGACTCACAGGGTGACTTTGGACAAGTCACACTCTCTCTGCCTCAGGATGGCCACGGCAAACCCCCTTTGAAGAAACGTACCAAGAAAACACCATGATAGGTTCGTCTTAGGGTTGCCATAAGTTGGAAGTGACTTGAAGGCACACAACAATCCTACATCTGGGGTTAACAACACTGATTTATCTTATCACAGTTAAGACCAGGGGTAGGCAAACTTTCCTCTTTAAGGGCCGAGGGACTTCAGCTCCCAGAAGCCTCAGCCATGTTGGCCAATAGTCCCATGTTGGCCAATAGCTCCTGGGATTCTGGGAGCTGAAGTCCTTCGGCCCTTAAAGGGGAAAGCAAAGCAAAGCAAAGCAGCTTCATTTATATACCGCTTCATATCGCGCATGGGATGTCTAAGCGGTATACAACTGTGAGCTGATTGCCCCCCAACAAGCTGGGTACTCATTTTAGCGACCTCGGAAGGATGCAGGCCTGAGTTGAGCCTCAGCCCTGGCTGGTATTGAACTCGCAACCTTGTGGTCTATGAGTGAGTGGCTGCAGTACAGGCATTTAACCACTGCGCCACCAGGGTTGCCTACCCCTGGTTAAGACTCATGGGACTCATGGCCAACACGGCCAATGGTGAAGACTGATGGAGGCCAGACATCTGGACAGATATTGACTCATCTTCAGTTTGTTGTTAAAGACTACCACTGATCGTTGCACATACTAAATATTTGAATATATCATCATCATGACCCTCATAGCCCTATGATGATGTTGTGTGTCTTCAAGACATTTCTGACTTATGGCAACCCTAAAACAAACCTATCATGGGTTTGTTTGGTTTTTTTTTGGCAACATTTGTTCAGAGGGGGGTTAACCTTTGCCTTCCTCTGAGATCATGGTCCATACCTGTTGGATATACTCTAGCTGAAGTTCCTCCATTCAGCAGAGGGTTGGATTCAATGGCTTATAGGCCTCTTCCAACTATGATCATCGTCATCATCTCAACATGGATTCCTGCACATTTGGACGTGTACATAGCAGGTCACTCCTGGCCACGGGGAGAATCAGCTGGGAAAGCCCACATCACTGCTCTTACCTATGCTGTTGTGGTATTCACACATATACTAAAGCCATGAGGAACCAGTCTCCCATTCAACTGCTGCATATGGAAAGTGGAGCGTCGGTGAACATCTGAACTAATCACAGTGCCACTCAAGATAAGGAAAGAGGGACAAAGCCAACCAAAGTTCAAGAAACCTCAAACCGATCATTTTCTTTACATGACCAAGGTCTAATCTGCACTGCAGAAATAGTCTAGGTTGACACCACTTTAATTGCTGTGGCTCAATACTATGGAATTCTGGGATTTGTAGTTTTGTGAAATACTTAACCTTGCTGCCAGAGAGCTCTGGGGCCACAACAAACTTCAAATCCTAGGATTCCACAGTACTGAACCATGTCAGTTAAAGAAGTTTCAAACTGTATTATTTCTGCAGTAAAGATTAGACCTTAGACGCCTACATGCAATGCATGAAGATGCAACTCTACCATTTCCCCTCCAGCAACCAACATCCTCCTGTTTGCATTTTGGCAAATGCAAATCTTAATTCTGTTCCACAATAGTTCGGTCCCTATAATTTTCAAGTTACTGTACTATACGCAGGTAGAAAACACAGCACCAAAACCGTCCAGAGGCAGCTGTCTCTCTGTTGGAACACAAGCAATTAAAAGTTTGTCAGTACAGTTGATGTTTCATTGTGTTTTTTAAAAAGCCATCTGTGTCTTTCTACAGTGACAAACTTTGTTAGTTCTGGTTAGATAAATCTGATCAGTGAAGTGTGTTAATAAGACAAAACATGGTTGCATTCTTTTTGAGGGAAAAATTGTTTGGGCTGTTTTTATAGTGTTTATATGTGTGTGGTTTAGTTTACGTTGTTGTTGTTGTTGTTGTTGTTGTTTTAACTTTTGTGAGCTACAGGAAAGCTTTTTGAGGAGTCCAAGATCAAATGCAAAATTCAGATTATACAAATTGTAACCCCAAAAATCAAAAACTGAGCAATCTGCCAGGAGCTCATACATTTAATATGTTACTAACTTTTGTGCAACGTTGCGATAGTAAATCCAAAACTGAGAAGGCCTGTTTTCATATTATTTAAAAAAAATGTTTTCCTCGTGCATTTGAAAACTATGAAAACGGTACACGCAATGTATCATAGTCGACACACTGCCTTTTTGGTGGGTTTGTTGTAAATGCTTTAAACTCTATCAATACTGTAATCACATTTTAATAATCCTTTTTGGTATGTTCTTACTTAGGTCTTAGCGTGAGATTTTTAATCTGTATTTCTTTCCATTTTTTTAAAGCAACCTTGCATCTCAGTTTTGGGGAAAAGATATCATGAATTATTTCAAAAATGTTCATTAATGTATGCATCTATACCTGTTCCTATCAAGAATAATTCTACTAAAAAGTTAGCAGAGTATGTAGGATGGATAAAAGCAAGAAAAAAACAATGAAAGGGAAGATGCGGAAAGAAAGCGAAAGAGACAGAAGATTAGTAAATGCATCAGACACATTACCAACCCCCAAGAAATCTATCTAGAGACAACTCCTTATAACTACACAGTCACCATATGTAGGTATTAATCTGAGTGGTGCTGAGTTATAATGGTGATACAACCCAAACTGAGAAACAAGAAAGAGGTTATCAGCATACTTGAGAGATATCCAAATCTTCCAGAACTTTTTTTTTGTATTTTGGGGAGTATATAAAAAGAATATTAAAAAAAAAAAATCCATCAACAACTCTATGAAATATTGAGTGTATCAGAGCCACCATGGTTTAGTAGTTTGACTGTTGGACTAGGACTTCAGGAGACCAAGGTTCAAATCCCTGCTCGGCCATGGAAATCCACTGGAAGGCCTTGGGCAAGTCACACACTCTCTGCCTGCCAGAAAGGCGATGGCAAACTCTATACAAATCTTGGCAAGAAAACCTTGTGACAGGTTCGCCTTGTTGTTGTTGTATGCCTTCAAGTCATTTCCGACTTGTGGCAACCCTAAGAAAAACATATCATGGTGTTTTCTGGGCAAGCTTTGTTCAGAGGAGGCTTGCCATTGCCTTCCTCAGAGGCTGAGAGAGTGTGACTTGACCAAGGTCACCCAGTGGGTGTCCATGGTCAAGTGGGGATTTGAACCCTCGTCTACAGATTGGTAGGTCAATGCTCAAACCACTATACCACGCTGGCTCTCTAGATTTGCCTTAGGGTTGCCATAAGTAAAAAACAATTTGAAGGCACACAGCAACAATCAGGGAGTGAGAGGCAGAATGGTGTAAGCTAGAAAAGTCCTTGACTATCTGATTGTAACATTGGAAAGGAAAGGAATAGCTGAGCATATATTTTCTCCACTCCTTTTCCATAAGCACTTCTACAGATTTGGGTTTTATGGGGCAGGCAGGTGGAGCAGATGGTCATACCTTGGCTGCACATGAGCTGCACATCCAATACACATAAATCCTCAGCACATCCCAATCACCCAGTCAGTTGCAGGCTCTCTGATGGACATTCAGAGGTCCTGGGCATTTCAAGCACAGTCTCCTCCCAATCTTATCATATCAAGAAACATAGGGGTACTCATACAAGACTATATTCTTGGTTCTCCCTTAGCAATGAAACAAGTAAAAAAAATGCCCATGCTTGGGAGCGCTACACAGAGGCACCCAGTTCTTCAGAATCTATAATTTTTGGGGGGTGAGGAGAGTTACCTTCTTTGGACTACAACTCCCCAAATTCCTCCAACCTGCATGACCAATTTTTTCAAGATCCTCCAATGCTTTTTTCCAACAGAAGGAGGCAGCACAAGGTGCACAACCTCCATCATCCATTGCACCACCCTGATACTTTTCCCCACACTTGCCATTTTGACAACATATCCCATATTCCTCCTACAAGAGCAGAGTGCAGGAAGCTTGTCCATGGATGTACTCTTCAGTTGTCATTTCTGTAATGGGGGAGGATAAGGGATGGAAGGGATACAAGGGAGACCCTCTCAGTGCTCCGTCGGCACTTGGCTTTTTTATGCACGCTGAAGAATTATCTTACACTCACACAAATAGTTTGCTCCATGGCATTTCTGATTTCTACCCACCCAGCCTTCCCGGACCGCTCAATGTCATTTTGCACAAGCTGCTTTTGAAATAAACCCTTCCATTCCAAACGCAGTTGGCCGCTTGAAACATGTTTATAGAGCAGAGTTTGGAAAAATAATTTTTTGGGGACCACACATCCCAGAACTTCCCAGCAAGCATGGCCTTCTGGCCACTCTGGCTGAGGGATTCTGGGAGCTGAGGCTAACAAAAACAGAACTTTTCTCAGACCCGTCTCAGGCCACCTTGGGCTCACACATTGTTGCATAGGCTGTGGACGACCCAGCATTTATCTTCAAATTATTTGCAGGTTTGTTTATTGAATTGATAGCCCACTTTGGTCCCACATGGAACCCATACATTTAATGTTTAATATTGGTTTGATAAAGTTTTGCATGCACAGTCTCCCGGGGATTGCCGCTGGTGCCGTTTTTCGAGCATCCGGCAATTAAGATCTAACCTTGTAAACATAGGGGGAGAGAAAGCTAGGGAAATGGGCAGCGGCATCTGCTTTACCTGACAACTGTGTCAAAGAGAAAGGACGAGGCAGCTGCTCCCAACAAGGCACAGAGGAGATTGACTCGATAGGCAACGGAACCAAAAGGCAAGAGCTCGATTGCCAATTTAGCCAGGAGAGTGAATAGCGGATAGCCCGGGGGATGAGCAACCTAGGAACAAACAGAGAAGGCATTTGCATTAAGATGTCACAATGGCAGCCTAATTGAGAAAGAGCTCCCTTATTAGCTTAGCAGTAAACACCCAGGTTGAAAGCACAGCCCTCTTTTATTATTATTATTATTAATATTATTTAAAACGGGTTTTCCTCCTCCCAATTTCCTTTTTTTCCTTTTTTTC